CTATCTTTCCTCCGTAATTGACACGACTGACTTATCACAACAAGTTCTCCCTCGAATGCTCGAGGGATTGTAGAGTTGTGTGAAAATTCACAGCCAAGCCTGTGAAGATACATAGTCAAGGATATCTTTTCACACTAATAGAAGTTATTAATCACACCTCAGTCAACATTGAGCATGTTTTGTTGGAAATGACTTCCTGAACTACTGAAAGCTGTGATATTGCGGTCTGATAGCCCGCGTGGGATCAGGGAAGCAGAGTTTCCAAAACCAGACTCACTGATCAGAAATTGCTTCTTGATGCCCAATTCACTGTGGGAAGCACACAGCACCAAAGCCCAGGAATCTGAGTCTCTCAGCAGAAGGTAAATATCCCCACAGCTTCCAAGTACCTTACAGAAGAAAATGTATTCTGAAACAATTTGAATGCTACATGGAAATAAATATTTTATACTGACAGGAGGCCCTGAGGAAAGATAGACTGGGAAACACTGGAGCAAAAAGCCTGAGGACCGGTGTGAACGATCTTCTTCCAGGCTCCTACTTTTCCCCAGTTCAACAATCTGTCTGTCACATTGAAAACCTGTCACCAGATGAATATAGAAACCACATCTTTAAAACACGAGCTGGCAGTGCATAGTACAGGGTACAGTATGTCTGCGTGTGTGTGTGTGTGTAGGTACGTGTGGCGGCAGTGCTGTGTGCGTGCAGTGTATCATCTGCATGTCTATTTGCAATAAGTATGTGATGGGTTTCCCTGAGGAAATAATTTGTTCATCATTAGTTGCACGCACACACATACACACACACACTTGTTACACGTTAATAGCAGCATAAACAAAACGGATCTACGATATTTAACCTTTAGCGTTCCCGGAAGATGACAGATGGGGCTCGACACGTACGTGTTTGGGGGGGGGGGGGGGACCAAATAGGGTTAAGTGTAGGAGCAGAATGATATGTGCAGTTAATCATACCTGCAGTGCATTTTTTACATGGAGTCATGCCGCACCAACAAACAAATTCAGGATCGCTCATTTAGGCTCAACTACAGTAGCAGCTCTTGCATGGAAAAAGTCGAAAGAAATTAACTCCTCGACCTCTCAACACTGACACAAATCAGCAATTTCAGTGGCAGAGCCTGCTGCTGACTGGGCGTTTGGTTCAGACACAGATGACTTTGCCGCCCCTCCCAAGGCTTGTTTGTGGGATATGTAGCACTTATACCGAACAATATCCGCTGGGTCAGGGTTTGCATTGACTTTCAGAATTACAGGGTCAAAATATGGATTACTGTACTGCATTTTGGGATCTACGAAAAGGTGTAAGCCCCGAAGGAATGTAAAGGTCGCTGTATTTGTGCAGGCAACGCAGATGACAGCAAGCAGCTATAGCCAGACGGATGTTTTCATCATACTTTCATACCTGAGAGCAAGCGTTTCCAGTATTTTTGGCCCAAATCTGCAAAGACTGCCATACTTTAGGCTTTCAAAAAGCTGCTGCCGGGTACATTTGTAAACAACAGATATGATCAAGACAAAAATATTTCAAATCTAGCAACGCACTCACTTCATACACAGCAGTCAGCAGGGTTTGGAAGCAGAAAGAAGATTCAAGAGAAGCAGAAAAACACAGAGGCAAATAGAGAAAACACTCAAGTATGACTAATACTGGATTTTTAAAGTGAATGGCAATCAGTTTTTGAGATTCACAAAGAGAGTGCATGGCTTCTCCATCGATTATTTCATTTATCCATTAACTATTGTATCTCTGAGATGCCGTTCCTACTTAAGCGGCCTTAATGTGTTAGTTTATCTCTGTGTACTGTAGTCTGGCGTCCATTTAAAGTGAAGAAGAAAAAAAGGCACACTGTGCCGGTTATGACAGCTGATTCTATACCTGTAGTGTGGACCTACAGGCACAAACTTTCAACAAACTTTTCAAAAGATTGTTTCCACAAGCTCTTCTTGTTTTGGGTGGGCTGGGTCTGAGAATCACAACATGAAGCGTCAATTAACTGAATATTGCACCTTTGTGGACTAATTATTTATCTGTGGTTCGGTGCGCGGGCCTCGGCAATGCCAAAATATAAACGATAAGACATTTTATACTGTTTGCAGATATATATCTTCATATCGCCCAGACTTCTGGAAAGTTATGAAGGACATTTTTCCACATTTCCATTAATTGACCATTTAAGAAGATAATTGGCAGACAGATTGATAAAAGAATCTTGAGCTGCAGCCCTACAACGGATTAAACTCCGATCAATACTCATAAATCGATGCTGATATATCTGTGAGAGGCTAATATCAGCCAATAATATCGGCCCGGTGAATGTATTAATCGGGCTCTTGCAAAAAAACAACGTCTGAAAGTTTACAGAGAAGTGTGAAAGAGTTCACAGAGCAGAGATAATAGCAGTGACTGTGTCAGCAGTGGGTTCTGTTTTACACCAACAGACACAGATCAGCTTATGCATCAGTTCATTAAGCACCTACTTACCATGAAAAGGCCACCGTGACCACAAAACAACCCACCACCCACACTGTACCCATTTGTCTCTCTTCTCCATCTTAACCTCTTACCTCACTCCCCCCCCCCCCACACACACACACGGTGTTCTGTTTAATCAAAACAGACCTGCTCATTTACATGTCTCATAATGTTGGAGACTCACTATGGAGCCCGTCATTACGCGCACCATTAAAACACAGCAGTAGACTAATCTAGCGCTTCCGTAAGGCAGCAGCAGCAGCAGCAGCAGCAGCAGCAGCAGGAGGAGCAGGAGGAGCAGGAGGAGCAGGAGGAGACGCGGTAGAGGACATGGGTCCCTGTCTCTCTGACAGTGCTTGAAACTGACTGGCTTTATTCATACATACACGGTAGAATTTTTTCTTTTTAGTCTGGGCGATCATGCAACTGTGAGGCATGACTTGCTGGTATTGCACAAGGAAGCTGTCTCGGTCCCCTGCTGTTTCCTGATATATGCTTCCATCAGGTGACATCAGCTACAAGTTCAATCCAAAATCCAACAGCTAGATGACACACACATATACATGTTGGTTGAGCAGACTAAATCAAAATGAACGTCTGTTTGGCCTTGATAAAACAATGGATGAGTGTCTATCCTTTTAAACTAAACTAAGATACAAACAGAGGTACTGCTACTAGGACCTAGAAGGGGGATCTTGTGGGGGAGCAGCAGTGGCGGGAGCAGTAGGAGATATGAGTGGGAGAGGAGCAGCGGGAGGAACAGATATAGGGAGGATGTCGGAGCAAGGAATGCAGCTGGAGCAGCAGGTAAAGTGTAAGAAAGAGCAGTGGGTGGAGCAGGAAGTGATGCATGGCCGGCAACAGGAAGAGGAGATACTTTCAGAGGAGCAATAGGAAAAACAGTAGGTGATGTTTGGGGGAGAGAGGGATAATTAGTAGGAGGTCATGCTTGAGGAGGAAGAGGAGGCAGGCAATGTTCAGAGAGGAGCAGCAGGATCGATTCTTGCATGGGGACGAGCAGGAGGACCGCCAGTAGGAGATGCTTGGAGAGGAGCAACAGGAGAAGAAGTAAGTAATGCTGGCAAGGGTGGCTGGAGGCGGACTTGGTTATTCTTAAGGAAGAGGAGAAATAGTATAATTGGATGTTTGGAAAGGAGAAGCAGGAGGTGATGCTTACGATGAAACAACCCAGCGATGCTTGGGAAGAAATGGCAGAAGGAGCATTAGTAAATGCTTAGGAAGGAGCAGGAGCAGCTACAGCTGTCAGAGAGGGAGCAGCAGGAGGTGATGCTTTTGGAGGAGCAGTATTCTGGGCGAGGAGCAGTGGGGGCTTCGTAATGCATTGAGAGAAGGAGCAGGAGGTCACACTTGGTGAGGTGCAGCAAGATAATTGGAGAGAGACGCACTGCCAGCAGGAGATGCGTGAGGAGAAGTAACAGAGGGAGCAGTTGGTGATCCTCGCAGAGAAGCAGCAGCAGCAGTAAGATATGCTCAGAGAGGAGCAGCAGCAGCGGGAGATGCTTGTAGAGGAGCAGGAGCTAAAGAGCAGCAGGGGCATCAGTGATGCTTTGGGAGAAGTAGCAGGAGATCATTCGTGGAGAGGTGCAACAAAAGAGGCAGCAGGTTATGTTTGGAAAATGAGCAGGAGGTGATGTCGGGTAGGAGCGGGAGGAGGAGGAGAAGCAGGGAAGGTGGCAGCCGCCACTGCTACTATACAGCTGTGAGCTATAATTATGATTCACTTTGCCACTCCAAGTGTGCAGCAGCGAGTGTGTTAATACTCCAGTGCACTCAGAAGGTAGAAACACAATAATGTTATTAAACACCACACAATATATGCTTCAGCATCAGAGAACATTACAAAATTAGATTATGGGTGAATACCTGGTGTAATTCAAGCCTTTAATTTCATAATAATGCATAATTGGCATAATATTGGAGGAAATGTTATCATGCTATTTAATGCTTGGTAGCAGATTGCATGTACATTGTGTTCCTCAAGAACACAATGTAGTAAATATATATATATATATATATATATATATATATATATATATATATATTTACTATAGAAGACAATTAGATGATTGTATAAATGCAGAATAAACATTTTCAGAAGAGCATGCTGGAGCAGTAGCACTCACAGCCTGTAGCTTACTTATTTTGTAATTTCATATAATACAGAAATGTGGGCTGTGACTTCAATAAGCCACAGCTGCATTCCTGTACAGTCCAAAATGCCACAGTTGAGAGGTAAATGAACCCGATATGAAACCCGACGCACCCTGACCAACAAGGAAAACTTACTGATAAATCCTACAGAAGTGTCACTCAGACTAAATGTCAAAATGTAAGTTCATGTTAGAAAGTTAAAGTCCATGAGAATATAACAAAGATAATAAGAAGCAGGTCAGTTGACAGGACAGCTATTTACCACAGTTAAATTCATTCAAGCCGTCACCCTGCACCATCGGAACAGACAAATGTCCCCCTCTTTGCACACTTACCCTCCACTGCGCACACCGAAGTAATCACACAGAGAAACACCGCAACCCAAGTGGCCCGCATGGCCAAAATCACTCCCCGGCTGTCCTCTCTCATTAGCCGGCTGACGGTACCAAAAAAAAAAATCCCACAGAAACAGGCTGTATTCCTCTGGTTGACAGTCACATCTCAGCCCCCAATGTGTGTGTGTGTGTGGAGGGGGGGGGGGGGGCGCGTTGTATGTATGTGTTTCACTGCCAGAGTCAGCGGGGACTGGAGCGGATACACTCGCTGGTGGATCTCCGGCGCTCTCTCGCCTCTCGCCCCTTTCTGTCCAATCAGGCGACAGTATGGCGGATCGTAAACCAATCACCCGTTCCCTTCCACCTGACCTACGCTGAAAGCCCAATGGACAGGTCTCCCCCCTTACCCCTGGCGTGGCGGCTTGTGTGACGGGACAGCGACACCCAGCGGTCAAACGGCAGTACAGCAACTCAACTGAGAGGACCACAGTCTATGAAGAGGACACGTCTCGTGCCTAAAGACAGGAGGGGAATTTGCAGTCTTTAGGCACAGTGCAGTAATATGAATTGTACGTGTTCTAGTCTACATACAAGCCTAAACTGCCTTTTGACAACTTACTACACAAGTCCGTCAGAACAAAACCACAGCACCGCTCTTCATCGATACACTAGACTTCATTCACCAGACCTTTTTCGGCTATGCCTTCACCAGAGTTGAGGTTTCTGTTGAGGCAATTAATGGTGATCTATAAGCCACATTATTACCAGTATACCGATAACAGTCAGACACCACTCTGATGAAGGCAACACAGCTGGAAAGTCCTGGTGTACTGGGACAGACATGTATTAAAGTTGATTAAATACTAAACTAAACTAAAAAACATAAAAAAATAAGAATTGTTGTGTTTTCTTAACATTAGAATGAGCCCTTTATATGTGCATGTGGAGCGGGTCCTCTCCAGTAACCCAGAATGTAACAAACCAACACTGGCTTTAGATATTTAGGGCCAACTGCTTCTTTGCATTTTCATGTCGGCCGCCGAAAGTTCTACTTCACACTTGGCCCGCGGGAGAAGTTTCAGTTTGCTGCGATCTGAAACCTCACTGCTAGAAGTCCCCAAATCCTCCACAGTGCACCTTTAACCTTCCAGTCTATCAACTTTACACCTTTAACACCTATTTCCCCTTTGGAGTCGGCCCATTTAAATGAAAACCCCAAAAATATTTTTTATACATTTCGACATGAAGTTTTTAAAGACTTATTACACTATTGGACTGCCCTGGATTGTGAGTTATTTTTTAAAGTAACCACAATTACGCCCCCCCAAAAAAATACATGCTCATATTTATGTAACTTGTAATAGCCCTCGCTGTCTGTGAAACTTCTTCATATTCTCAGCATCCCACAGGCAGAACAGTGGGTGGTGGTAAAAGGTTAATTGCTTTAATGAAGCAGTATTCTCTACTAGGTGACATTAAATACCGTTTATTTGTGAATGTCATCATGAATTTATTCTTTCCGTTCACTCACCGTCATTCAGTCACGACTGATTCAGCTTTTAGTGCCACAGACAATCACCAGCTTCACGCCATCTTACTTAAAAAACGATTTAAATCGGTTAAATTTGGGGAAAACACAGCATCTGTCTTGGATTGGTGCTTTGAGCTACTGAAATTGGTAACAGGAGAGAGAAAAAGTAGGATAGGTGCATCCCCAATAGTATTATTGTGGAGCAATGAGTGAACAGTAAATAGGAAAAAGTTTTTTTGGCCCTCTGCAACAACAAGCTAAAAGTTGAACTTAGTTACATGTCAGCCCCTGACGGCCTTGGATCAATTTACTCTTGAAGTTTCTGTCCTGTCTCTCGCCTCCTTCATCTCCTGCAGCTTCCTGTCTCTTACACTGTCTGTATAAAGGGGAAAAGCTGCTGAACAACACGACAGTTCAGATCATTGCTGTGACACTGCATTTTCCAGTTCAGACAGTTCATTTGCTGGGCAGACAGTACATTTCACTTGTCAGCAGCGTTCGTGTCACTACACCATGTACCACGACAACAATCCCCTTTATTCAGTGGCTCTTGCATCCTTGTACACATTGACCAGTATTGTAGAGTTGTCTGTATGTCTGTGTGTAAGACAGAGGCAGACAAAGAGAGGGAGATGCTTCTTATCTTAAAGCCGGCAGTCGGAGGCATTATAAATCGTTGGAGACCCAGAAATCAATTCTAGACCTGCCGGCTGCCACACGAGCAGAACGATTATGTTTAAGCTGTCTCCAGAGTTACGTTACATTCCTTGAATTTGTGCAGCAAGAGTTGTGGCACCTTTTGTTCAGAGGTAACTCTCACCTGGGGGACTCAACATGGCGATCGTAGACGGACAGCTTGACTCTTCGATTGCTGAGCGTCGATGCATCTTCGTGTCTAGACAAGGAAAATCAACAGTGCGGTAGATTGTGACTGCCACGTGTGTCCTCCCACATCTCATTGAATCTCAGTTCAGATTTCACTTTTACTTCCACATCATTCACAAGGACAATTACGGGACAAGATACAATTCAGGAAAGACACATGATGTAGAAAAAGGACAGATGTTCAGATCAGGTGTTGAGAAATGAAATTTGACTTCTCCATCATTTAAAGACAGAAACTTGTTTGTGCATGTGCCTGCTGCTCTGCTTCATTCTGTTGCACGCATCAGGAAAATAAATCATTCATTAACTCCAAACCCCCTGACTGGTGCAGGATTGTCATCCCCACACACACACAACACGTGGCCCCGTTTTTCTCCAGCAGTGCCACATGAGGCTTGTCAGTGCCTGTTACAAAGAGTTATATGTTTATTTATAGCCGTAGTGCAGCTGGCAAATTGAGCTTTTCAAGAAAAAGAGCGAAATCAGGGAGTGAGTGGTAGATCTAGTGGCCACAGAACATCAGGCACAGGCAATGTGAAGACAACAGCAACTGGTGCTTGGTCATATCTCTGTGGCTCATGGATAGATTCCTGGAGACACAATGAAAAGCTGGATCAGATGACTTTTCACTGAGAGGAACAGAGAGAACTTATAGGGGTACTCCAGTGATTTAGTATTGCACCTCCTTAAAGTTAGGGGAACTGGCAAGAGACTTTTGAACAACATTAAGTGTCCATGCTACTGGCTCTGTGGGGCTGTACACGGGCACAGTGGTACTTTGAGCCGAGTGTAAACATCAGCATTTTAACATGCTTGCAATAATGTTGCTAACGTACTAAATGATGCCACGTAGGCATAATGTTTACCATGTTCATCATTTTAGTTTACCTTTGGTTTACGCACAGCTGAGGTTCATGGGAATGTAATGCGGTGTGCAGGGTTTTGGGCATAAACAAAAGTTCTGGACACGTGGAAATTTTGACCCGCTGATGCCGTCGGATTAAAAGTTAAGCGATCCCAAAAGTGATTTGAATTAATCCAGCTGGCTGCATCCAATAGTTGTTGAGATATTTCCTTTAAAACCACAAATGCTGACCTCATTGCGGTGCTATTGAGGAAAAGTCAAGGGCATCATCAAAGTCATTAGGATTCATTCCTGCTGGCGAACACTGTTATGTTCATTCACTGTTATTTCATTTAGGACCAAAGTGATGAACCAATTTACAGACGTGCTTCTAGTGTGGTGAAAAAATGGTACAAATTGAAGCAGCAGAGGCTCAACTCAATCATTCTGTTTGACCCTCCATGCCTGGTAAAAACCCACGTCTTTCAAATCTGATGTCCCAAGTTTACAACACACAACATTTCTGTTTTACAATTTCAGCCTCCAAGCCCAAGCTGATGACTTCCCAAGGCCATCTCAGGCTTATTTCCTCAAACTTTAGAAAGCTCCAGAGCATCCAGAGCCACAGAGCACATTATACAATTCTGACCTTAAATAAAGAGCTTCCTTCTTATTAATGGATGCTAATCAGAAACAATCAAATAAAAATATACATGGCAAAATCCACTGCAACAATCAAACAGAGTTTAATGAATGAAATGTGTGATTAAATACAGCGATGAATAAAAATCTGCTTCATACACAACCCCAGTGTGTGTGAATGTGTGTATGTGCAAGAGACTTGTGTGAGTCAGGAGTCCCATATGTACCGGTATAATAGTAGTGTAGACTGCAAGAAAGGCATGCCGACTAAATGATGTATCACTAGGCAAATTGTACACACGACGTCAATATTCTGCACATATCGTGTACTGTTTGTACAAAAGATTTGTTATCTTAGTGTTGATATGTCTTCTTCTAACATATGCAGTTACAAAACATAGTGAAAGGGTTGTCACTAATGTTCAACGTACTTGGGGGGGGGGGGGGATGTCTGATGTCAAAACATGTAAACAAAAAAAGTGTTCAGTGTGACAAGTGCTTTGGTTTGACCTACTGTATATCAGCCAGTATGTTGCTTGGACTTCGTTTAAAGTTATTTAATGCAGGTGTGCGTTCAACAAGGAGTCCTCTCTGGCATTAGTGGATTTAAGGAAACTGCGCGTCTGTGCTCGTTTACGAGGGCTTTTGTGACACTGCGCGTTTTGTTAGAAAGGTTGTCATTTCCTTTTTCTTCCAAGATGGTTAGGTTGAGGTGAAATCACAACGTATCATACATTTCAGGACTGGGATAATTCATCTGCAATATTTGAAATGAATCCTAATGAATGTATCTGTTTATGCCAACACATACCAAAACATCTGGACGACAACATCACAGATTGTGGGGGGGATTAATTGCCTATATAGTATTATACTGTACATTCATGGCTCAATATGGTGCCAGTCTTTTAGCTAATTTACACACACATTTACAACTTACACAATGTTTGTAAAGGTAGACAACCTCGACTTGAGTTAAAAAACAAAAATATAAAAAAAACAAGCCTTGTTGAACGCACCACATATCGGGGAACTAAACATTTTTTCACTGAGCTCTGCCACCTCCTGACTGGAAAGTTAAGCTGAATGGACCTGATAGAGTGTCAATAAATCAATATCACCATCATTATCGTCATCGTCATCCACAGCCATCATTCTCTTTGTCTTCATCTCCATCGTCTTCCAACAATCCATTGAAACCAGCTCAACAAACTGAATCACACCCGAACTAAGACATTAAAAAACAAACTGAGCAAAACTAAATAAAAGAATATTGTCACTGTCAAGTTTTCCTTCTCTTGCTCAAAGAAAATGTCGTCCATTCATTCTCCAAAATTGTCATTTTCATTTTTTGGCAAAGTTACGTTACTAATCTCCCCCCCCCCCACCAAACC